AAATGGCCTTTTGAAAATTGAAGTGCGTGAGCGTCACAACGGCAAAAAAATGTCAAATGTTCCAAGTTTAATTGCAAAGAAACTCCCTGACGGATTTAGCCCAAGCTCCCATCGTAAAGAAAAGGAACCTTCCTTTAAAGGCTGCTGGAAAGCGGAACGAGATCTCCGGTCTGGTTATGGAAAAATGGCCTTTTGAAAATTGAAGTGCGTGAGCGTCACAATGGCAAAAAAATGTCAAATGTTCCAAAATTTATTGCAAAGAAACTCCCTGATGGATTTAGTCCAAGATCACATAGTAAAGAAAATTAACCTTCTTTTAAACGCTGCTGGAAAGGGGAATGAGATCTCCGGTCTGGTTATGGAGAAAGGGCCTTTTGAAAATTGAAGTGCGTGAACGACGCAACGGCAAAAAAAATGAAAAGTGTTTCAAAATTCATTGCAAAGAAACTCCCTGACGGATTTAGCCCAAGCTCGCATCGTAAAGAAAATGAACCTTCTTTTAAAGGCTGCTGGAAATCGGAATGAGATCTCCGGTCTGGTTATGGAGAAATCGCCTTTTGAAAATTGACGTCCGTGAGCGTCACAACGCCAAAAAAATGTCAAATGTTCCAAAATTTATTGCAAAGAAACTCCCGGATGGATTTATGCCAAACTCACACAATGATCAAAACGACCTTCCTTTAAAGGCTGCTATAAACCGGAASGAGATCTCCGSTCTGGTTATGGAGAAATGGTCTGTTGAACATTGCAGTGCGAGAAGGKCGCAAAACCAAAAAAAATTTCAAAATTTCCCGAATTTATTACAAAAACACTCCCTGATGGATTCAGCCCAAACGCACACAATAATAAAAATGAATCTTTGTCTAAAGGCTGCCCAGAAAAATCCCAACCTAATTGGTTTTAAATAAATAATCGTCATTTCGAGCTGAAGTGTTTGTGTGCCGAATTGTGCACGCCCAAATTGTTATTAGGACCACATTAGTGCACCGTGCACTTGCAATGGTGTGTAAATATTTAATTCCGTGCCAGTTGTATTTCCCAGGAGCCCTAATCACATCGTCTATGCAAATTTCACGTTTTAAAACGTTCCCATTTCGATGTTGACCGACGAAATTCCAGCCCTTTAGCATCGTTTTGTTCGCAAAGCGTTTCGCATTAACCAAGATAATTAACGACAGTTGAAATATGGTTAAATCCATCAATTAGATCAGTTGAAGGAAACCTTTGTAGCGGCTAAAACTCCTGTTCCAGGCAGAAAACAATCTCAGTTTCAATTTGCATCCAGTTCTGTATATCAAAAACTATTACACTAAAGAGCATAGTGTGGGCTCGTACGGGGGTATTTTGCCTTAATCTCACGGGTACAGAGCAAAATATTTATTGCCGATCCCGAGAGTGTTTTGCTTGCAAATTGTGTGCGATAGCGATCGTTACTCTTCATATGAACGACGAGAATAAATGCACCATATCTGCGTCCAGCCGGATTAAAATGCAACAAGTTCTCGTTTAAAGTTTGGCGAACATTAGAGCTGATCGCATTTCGCGTGAAAGCTAGTCAAAGGGCTTCAGATCCGGCAATGTAGGGGGCCAATCCGTTGGTGGCTGAACACCTGGTTCAAATATTTGCAAACAATTACTGTAGAATTGAACAGAATCAGCTATTTCGTATAAGATTTAAAAACTATGTAGACAGACCGATTTAGAACGACTTTTCATGGATATTAAAATGAAAAAGTGTCCTTTTTCGCTATCGACCTGATCGGCAGAATCCATTAGTTATATTCGTCGCGTCGTGACACTCTATCGTCGTGCAAAATGCAAAACGGATGTCATCCAACCTCTCAGAACTTCCATTTAATAAAAGATGCAAGGAAACAAAAACGAGCTCGACGCCAAGAAGTGACAAAATCCTTAAGATCCCGAAGATCTACTGTGTTATACTGGAAAAATAGGAAGTATTTCCAGTGGCGCGATTCGTATGTAAATAATACACACTCCCAAATAGTATCCTCGGATGTATTAACCGATATTTATATGCCGCAGTGCACCATTTATGACTCTTTGAGAAAGCCGAATGTTACTGCAACATTTATTTTATGTTGCAATGTTCCTTTCGGAATTTAGGGCCCACTTTCGAACGTTCCGCCTGTTTTAATCAAATATTTAGCCACAAAACCGGCTAGTTTTCGACCATTTTTACTGTCTGGTCAAAATTAGTCGAACAAAGGCATTTTGTTCAGTTCGATCATACTTTGTACCAGCATATTCTTTCAAATGCAAAAAAGTGGCATCGAAAACGCTCTTTTCTCTCTTACTGATTTGTTCCACTCCCATTATATTATAGCGCTTTATTTCACTACCATCATCCTTTCTACTGTCAGTGGATAATTTAAAATTCACTTTTTGCCTGATAGCCGCTTATTAAGTCCCTCATTATGCATTGCAACGTTTAAAGCCCACTTATCTAATAGAGCCATTAGAACAAAATAAAATCGTGTTCAGGCCCACGATTTTCTCTCTGTAATAAGATCACTTATTACCAGCGAATGGTAGGAAGAAAAACGCAGTTGAGGACTCGAAATTGCTTCATTATTTCTTACAATATCGGGCATTTGCTCATACACAAATAGGTTTAATTTTTTCTTCTTTTACTGCAAAATGGACAGATCGATTGGAAACTCTCTAAATATCGATTCTGTTGGTAAATTTGCCTCAAATTTACAAACCAATGAAAGCCACTGTTCCTTTTCCGGGTGTTTGAAGGCTCACATGGACGGATCACATGAAAAGGGCAAAGTCGAAAAGTTTCTAAAAGTTTGCGAATCGCTTGCAAAGTAATTCTTGGATGGATTTAGCCCAAACTCACTGAATGATGAAAATGAATCTTCCTTTAAGGGACGTTAACTCGATGAATTGGATATCTGGTCTGGGTATGGTGCAATGGAGTTTTGAAGATTGCAGTCCCAGAAGGGCGCAATGTAAAAAAAACGTCAAAAGTTCCCGAATTTATTGCGAACAAACCCCTCAATGTATCTTGACCAAACTCACCAAATAATGACAACGACTCCTTCTTTACAGGATTCTAAAAAGCGGAACTGGATATCTGATCTGGTTAATGAGAAATGGCCCAGCAAGAGCAAGAAAACGGCGTAAAGTTAAAAAAATCTCAAAAGTTTCCGAATATATTGTGAAGAAACTCCCCAATGGGTTTAGACCAAACTCACCGAATAATTAGAATTGATCTGCCTTTAAGGGCTGCTGGACAGCGGAACTTGATATCTAGACGGGTTATTGAAAAATGGCCTTTGGAAAAGTGTAGCACAGAAAGGTCGCAAATAAAAGAAAGTCAAAGTTCCCGAATTTATTGCTAAAAAAACCCTCGATGGATTTAAACCAAATTCACCAATTCATAAACAGAAATCCTCGTTTAAAGGCTTCTGGAAATCGGACATCGATATCTGCTCAAGTTATTGAGAAATGGCCTTTTGAAAACTGCAGTGCGAAAAGGGCGCAAAGCCAAAAAAATGTCAAAAGTTTTCGAATTTATTTCGAAGAAACCGCTCGATGGAGTTGGACCAAACTCACTAATGAAAACGCAACCTTCTGTAAAGGCTTCTAGAGGGCGTAACTTGATATCTAGACTGGTTATTGAAAAATGCTTTGTGGAAAAGTGTAGCACAGAAAGGTCGCAAAGTCAAAAAAATGCTTATTGTTCTCGAATTTATTGCGAAAAAAACCCTCTATGGATTTAGGCCAAATTTACCAAGTTATGAAAAGGAATCCTCTTTTAAAGGCCTATGGAAATAGGACATCTATATCTGGTCAAGTTATTGAGAAATGGCCTTTTGAAAACTGCAGTGCGAAAAGGGCGCAAACTCAAAAAAATGTCAAAAGTTTTAGAATTTATTTCGAAGAAACCTCTCGATGGAGTTGGACCAAACTCACCAAATAATGAAAACGCATCCTTCTTTAAAGGCTTCTAGACGGCGTAACTTGATATC